TTAGATAACGGTTTTAATGAAGTTGAATAGCAGGTGTAGGTTCGATTGATGTGTCGGAGTGATTTCATTGTCAATTCGGCGGAGATCATAAGGGGCAGGTAGGAATGATCGGTGGTGGGGAAGATGATGGGATAAATGGAGGATTAAAAAGTCGGAGAGCGCGGGGCTGCATTTCCGTGGCCTGGTCGTTTTTTTTGGCGTTCGACTAAACAACATTATTTTGTTAAATAACAACATGGTGATGTTTTGTAAATGATTACATGTCTCTTATTTAGCACAGAGTATGATATCCGTGACATATGGATCTTAACAAAGTTCCGCTGTACATCCAGCGTACTGTATCTGACTTTATTTCACATGAGCTCCAGTGTGGAACTCCACTGCACCCCCTGGTGGATCAATGATCCATTGCAGCTGGCTTCATTATAATTACATTTATCTATCACGGGGGCGGTCTCAAGTCAAACTGGAGGTTTTCCCTTGAGCGAGGGCAGATCACGTACCAATCACGGCCCTTGCGTTTCAAACTGTCTGAAATGAATCGCCACATCTGTATGTCACTCCCCAAGCTATTCTGTAACATTGGATGTGTAAGGATCTCAGTCCAGCTGCCTGCTTATAGTGGACAAGTGTAGGAAAAGGCTTCTCTTAGTTACCCCTGTTGATATCTGTTACTGTGTAACCTGAGCGACGGGAACAGATGTGAATCATTTGAGCCAAGCTGGTGAAGAAAATGACCTATTGTGATGGGGTGAAATTATTTATATTTTATAATTCTTTTTTTGCAAGGCCGATTTGATAAAAGGTTTCCCTCTCTCTCCCCCTTTCAGTTGGTGCCAACCTCTATGGTGCCAACACCTGAGGGAAGAGCTGCAAAGTCAACAAACAAGAAAGTACTTTTTTCTCACTAACGCTAAGGTTAGGAATAGGATAGTTTATGATTTATTGTCAGTTGTAAAAGGGGAACATGCTAAGGTTCTGCAGAGTAGAGATTTAAAAAACAAAACAGGTCAATGTTTAACCTGTGTTATGGTCAGACACAACTTTTTAACTGCTGGATGTCTGCCCCACTCTGCTGTGGGAGATACATGTGGCGTGTTTTTTGTCTGACAGTTGAAATATATGTCCTGTCTGTTTCAGGAATGCTATTGGAAAATGGGAAAAAGGGAGTGTCACTCACAGAGCAGATGGTATGCTTTTAATCATCTATATTGCCCTAAAGCTTTAGATGTTTTAGAAAATTGATTATTCCTTACAAGCTACATTTCAAATGACATAGTCCAAACAGACTGCATAGGAAACTGGGCCCAGTTTACATAGATATACTTTTTAAAACAATGAACCTTTAGGTTGTAAATGGTCTGCAAAGGCTGAAATCCCTGTGTCTCTCCCACACACTCCCCCTCCTGCCTGAAACGCCTCCATTGAACTCCTTTGTTTACTTCCTTGACTTGGTGACATCACTATGTAACACTCACTCTTGTGTTGGCTGGCGCTCCAACATATTGTATGTGATAGTTCAAAAACTATGACAATCTTAAAATATGCTATGTGCCTGACAACAATTGTATTCTTGGGTTTTGGTGTAACCAGCAGATATCCAGGCACAGACTCAGACTAGTAACTTCAACACTGTTAATGGAGTTGAAGGTAAAAGACAACAGTTGACCAGCTATCTTTTGACTTAAAACAAGCAAAATCATTATCAGATGATAGCCGATGGGTTACCATATTGCATTTTGTCCAATTTGTACCTCCTCTTTCACTCTCCAAACGAACTGTTTACCTGCATTTAACCAAAGTCTTCTCTAACATCATTGGCCAATGGTACTCAGACTAAAAAAATGGAAACCAGATCGCTCCCATGCCAAGATCTTATCCAGTGACTATTGCATATGAATAAAATATATTTTTTTATTGAGATAACAGAACCTGGTTTGGTCCGAAGTCTAGCAGCAAGTTGTTGGTTTTACACGCAATATAACGTGTCAGCTTGTGAGCTTTAGTTGTGCTGGTAAGCAGATTTTTGTTACCTTTACTAGTGTCGTTATGCTAAGCTAAGCTAGCCAATGCTGGCTGTAGCTATATATTCATAAGACTAACAATCTTCTCATCTAAATGTCCCCAAGAAGGCAACGATGGGTTTTTCCCAAAGAAAATAAGAACTATTTCTTGAAAGATATTTTGAGGCTCTTAAACTCAACACTCCGGCAATTTCTTCATTTCACCATTTAATTGAATGCTATCGTGAACACATCGTCAAGAACGCAAACTATAATCACATTGCCAGGATTGCAGATATGTGAAGGTCCACTGTTTCTGAAAGCCAAAATACCAGTCATGTCAGCATAGAGAAAAACCTAGTGAGGTTTCTTAGATTCATGGAAATCTTAAAAGAGTGAAGCCATGGATAACAACATAGCACTTTGAGGAATTGGATCCCAGCAACCAAAACTTCAACGAAGCAAAACCCTATCAAAAAATTCTCTTTGTGCAGCATGTGGTCTAATGTTGTGGATTGGGAGGCACAGCCCATTAGGTTAATGTTTGGTCTGGCATGAAATGTACTTGCAATAGAAAATTATGTTAGGAATCAATGGTGAATAAATATTTATTGTTGCATCAGTACGGTCCGACATTGAGCTTGACGTGTCCTTTAACTTTACGTTCAGTTAACTTTGTCCCAGAGCACACAAGCACAATCTGATATAAACCAAGTGATAAGTCTATCTTTATTCCTCTGTGAAGAAACTGGAAGGTGTTATAATTGTCTTTGCCTGTTGTGGTCACATGTTTCACCTGTTGCTTTTTATATTCTAGTGTGCTCTTTTATTGTTTATGGTGCCTAAACAGACTTTTTTATATAACTGAAATACCCTTTTGCCTAGTGGCCACAGTGCCTTTGAATGATATGTGTGCTGTTCACCTTGTTTGAACTGTGGCTCACATTTCCACCATTCAAGGTCAGCATATACACTGAGATGGTAAATCCAGATTGACCTGAAATATGATCCTGCAGTGTTTAGCTCGGATGTGTTGAATGGAAGAAGACTATTTTAACTACATTGATGTTCTGGTATTGATTCTGGGTGTGGTTTTATTTTGTATCATGCATGTCTTTCTTGCCCATAAGTGGTTTGAGGTTTTTTAAGAAAGAAAGAACCCTATCTTGTGAGTGCAGACTCGTCACAGGCGCACCTTCTCACATAGGGGTCAAAGTATAGAATTCCAGGTCATCGCTTTGGTTTCACAAGACTCGCCAAGGCACCACCACAAGTGTAACCCGAGCTAGAGGTAAACAACTGCTCCACACGGGAACGCCGGGGAGGTGTGAAAGAGGTCAGCATCGAACATGTGACAAATCGTCAGGGGTTATTTGGGTACAGGCCATATCTCGGTCCTGCATTTGACACCTGTAGGTGACAGATTTCCAGGACTAGTCAGTGTCCGCTGCCCGGATCAGTTTGCTCTGAAGTGCAGTAACATGGACAAAGGACAAGAGGCATGAAACGTAATAACATCCCAGTCATCCTTAGCTGTAATCCACGCTGTTAACTGCTGTATTCACAGGGTGGAATAAAGGCATAAGGGAAATGTAACTATTCCGCTGTTAATCCATTATTTCCTTGGTGCACCATATTTTAATCAATCAAAAATGCAGCATGTTACATATTTACTGGTCACATCCCTCCGTTAGGGTTAGGGTTGGGGTGAGGGTTAGAACACCCTACAGCAGGGATGGGCAACTTGGATGGTGGTGGTGGCCACATCATTTATTTACTGGCCGCCAGGGGGCCGCAGATTCACTTGGAGCACACACACAACAATTCCATGTATTGTATGTAACTATTAACAAATATACTAAGTCTGACATCTTCAATTACATTTTACAATCTTTCAGGGAACATCCTCTAATAAGCTCACTAAAGAAATATCAGTTCACAGAAATTTTATTTTATTTTTACAAGTGGCATTGCATTTTTGTATCGAACAGGTTATTTACCAGTGGAATACAAGTTACAACTATTTTAAACTATTGGAAAACACAGAAAATGTGTGTGCATCAAGATTAAATATTAAGATGACATAAACATGAAGTCATGAACACTAACCCAGACATTAGTTGTTTAACTTGAACCTAAGCCTATCTCTGCATTCCCCTTATTCCACAATAAGGGGAATGTCAACACAGACACCTGTCAACCTGCACTCTGCTGTTCCTCAGCGCCCAACCCTGTCTCCTAAAAATGACGTTCCCACAGAACTGAACTGAATTCTCAATTACGTTTAGCTGGAAACGTATTTTCTCCCACGTTACGTTTCTTATGAACGTATCTTAAAGACGTTTACTTTCTACATATCTTTGCCATTTATTGTCTTGCTTATGATAATGATAATAGTCATTTATAAATATCATTTTAGAGCACACATTTGAAATCAGTAGGCGAGGCTGTAATTTCGCCAGCTGTTACTCTCATGATTGAGGCAGAAAATAATAGTTTTAACATGCCAAAAAGCTGCTGTGTCGTTTATTGCACCTCAAACATTCAAAAAAATCCAGAGTTACGTGTTTCTGTACTTCCTCTAAGAAGAAAGGACAGTAAAAGAAGATCTCTGTGGCTTCAGGCTTGATCGCCGTTCAAATGACAGCGTTGGTTTCACCTAAAGTGGGCGGGGCTGTAAAGTGACGTAGATTTTACTCTCATCTATTATTCAAAACCATTCTATTTATTCTCACGTAAATTACATGCCAGTGTTTTATCTTTTTATTTATTTGTTTTTATTTTAAATCGTATAATGTCAGACTTTTTTTGCCGTCTGTGAGGAAAAGAAATGGGGCTCAGAGCCTCAAAATACTGAAATCTGTATTTTTTTAAAATCTTTTTTTCTTTCTAATTTGTTATTCTATTCTAAATAACACACTTTTATTTACTCAACAATAACACACAATTATCCTTGTTTTTATTTATTCATTTAATTCTATAATCTTGGGCTTTTTAGCATGCTTTTTTAGCCGTAAATAAAGTCACNCCATGGCTAACTTTGGTTTGCGTGGAAGATTCATCGTTGACACGTACAAACTGAGAGCGTTCAGATAGATAGGACCCAAACCAGCCTAAAGCAGTTCCCTGTATGCCAACTAAGTGCTCTAGTCTTTGCAATAGGATATCATGGTCGATAGTATCAAATGCAGCACTGAGATCGAGCAAAACAAGAATAAAGTCTCTTGTCTGAGGCTATTAGAATGTCATTTGTGACTTTAACCAGAGCTGTCTCTGTGCTATGATGTGTTCTAAAGCCAGACTGAAAATCTTCAAATAAATCATAGTTTTTTAAGTACCGTAATTTTCGGACTATAAG